CAATTATTGATAACTTTATGTGTTGTATCACGAATATTGATATATTATATTCTCTGTCGTTGCTGTGTTTCTGATTTGTCACCAGTTTCAGGCTTGTCTCTCTCTCACCTCTGGTTTCTCGATCTCTCTAATCTATAAAGATCTGATTCTAAGTCTTTGTTCCGCTGTTATCACAGCTCATCGTCATCTTCCATTCGCTCTCCGGCATCTGTATTATTGTATGCATTCTTATCTTGCCTTTATTACTTACTAGCAAATGCATGTTTTCTACTTTGCGAGAATCTCCACCTAGTTCCAAAAAAGTTGCTTAACTTACATTTGCAGTCTGGTGTTGATATGCATGTTTCTGAGGACCTTGTGAGTCTTAATTTTCCATGGAGTTTTTGTAGTAATCTGCTTCGTGGATAAAGATCCTTTAGTTGTTTTAGTGATAATGTTCCTCTGACTCTGTTTCGTGTACTTTACTTGCTTTGGATCCTTATGCATATTCATGGTAGTTCATGTTTTTTCTATCTTTTCTGTACTTCCTATTCTACGTTGCTCTTACAGGTATGGCGAATCGTATGTTGAGGGATATCCTGACGAAAGGTTATTGCGGGATGATGTCTACAATTATCCACCTGGACATAATACCTCAATCTGGAGGGCGAAATTATCCCCGTGACCTTCGTAGGCAGGAAAAGCCTTACACTGAGTCAACTTATGATGAAGCAGGGAGTCGTAATGGATACTACCGTGATCATGGACATGAAAGGTCATCCCGGTATGACTATTCTGGCAGTGATTATAATTATAGATCCAGAAATTACCATCATAACAGAGATATTTAAATATCTTGGTAAAAGTATTAAGTTACGGTAGAGAAAGAGCGAGTGATGGTTGGTTGGGAATGTGCAGGGTTTAGGAAGAGACGGGAGCGGAATGAAAGAACCGGTGCAAGCAGGACTAGGGAGTCACCAGAAGAAAGTTGATGCTGAGTTTGAGGTTCAGCCTGGTGATACATACAGAACTCTTCTCCATAAGAAAGCACTTGCAAGGTTTCGTGACATGTCTGACTATAATTCTATGTTTGGTTTGTGTGTTTAAAACTGGTAATGTGATTTTGATCTTGTTCTCTTTTGTCCTTTTATTGATTTTTTAATGAAATGACAGTTATAATGTTATCAGAAATTTAAATGCTACCGAAGTTTCAGAAAACTACGATATTTCCTCTTCATATAGTTAGTTTAAGAAAATTATGAAATGTTTTTGTCATTGATGAGTTAAAAATAATCAAATCGGGTAATTATAATATTTTGGATAATTTCAAGTATTTTACATCAT